TGACCTGAGCCGAAGACAGTGGCTTAACCAACTGAGCCACCCAGGCATCCCCCAAAAATAAAATCTTAAAAAAAAATTTGCCAGAAGAAATATCAGTCAAATTGGTAAATTCTGTCAGATGGGTTCTGAGATGAGAGAGTGATTCTGAGTACTGCACAGCTGATGCTTTCCCAATGACGTTGGACAGTTTTGGGGTTAAGAAATTAGCATACTTTTTCTACTCAGGCCATGCTCTGGAAAGGAAGGCCCTGATTTCCTGGAATCAGGGCTGGAAAAAGCAGTGCTCCCTCCCCTGATGCCCTCAATACCATTCAGAACTATGTAATTATGCAAGTCAGTAGCTTACAATGTTTGCCATGACTTGTGAGGGGGCTCTGCCCGGCCTGTGTGAGAACAGAGTAGTGACAGAAATGATACAAGGAAGAAATTTTAGAAAGATGTGAATTTCCATATTGAAGGGGCCCACTGAGAAGGTATCAAGGGCTAAGAATAGGAAAAACCACACCAAAGCACAGAGGAAAAAACAGACCATGTACAATAATCAGAATGACTTCAGACTTCTCAAGAGAAATATAGGAAAGTAGTAGATAATGGAGCAATACTTTCATATTCTGAGAAAAACGTATTCATTTTAGAACTCCATACTGAGGGAAACATCAGTCAAGGAGGAAGAAAGACTATTTCAACCAGACAAGGTTTAAAATTAACCTCTATTACCTTTTCTCAGAAAACTACTGGAGGATGTGCTCCAACTAAATGAACAAAACAAGCAAGCAAGATGATGACATGAAGTCAGGAAATGGAAAATCTAACCTTGCAGAGAGGTGAGGAAAATTTCCATAGTGACAGTTGAGGGACACCCCAGAATGACAAGTGGTCCAAAATGTTTGGCTCTCTGGATGAAAAAAGGCCTAGAGTGGGTAGCTTAGGTCAGCCTCCTCTGGGCACTGGGTTCCTTTTCTTAATTTGCTTTGGCCTCTTTTGCTCTCTTCTGCTTTTCCCTGGCAGAAATAGTCTTTTTCCAAATAGAGCTAGTGATGTTCAATACTCAGGCTTTTGTTTTGGGGGTGAAATAATCATAGTAGGTCTTTAGAGTACTTTGGCATCAGGCTATCAGGAAACCCCTGCTTAAGTAAAGGGAATGTTCTGTAAGATGCAGTCATACTTGGTAGAATTCTACCCTGAGGTTTGGCGCTAAAGCCCTGCAGTGTGCTATATCTTCCTTTCCCTTAGTTTATGCTTGTCCTCTGGGAAACTTGTGAGGGCAGAATTCAGGTGTCACTTTGTCCTTGGCCCAATACCATCTCAATTCACCCTCACATCCCAGTGTCAGTCAACTAAAGTGGTACCGACTCTTTGAAGTGGTATTTAAATGTAGAATCACAGAGACCGAGGGCTTGGGGAGCTTTTAATCCAACCCATTGCCTATGGCTGGTAGCTCTTCATCTATTCATTTTCTAGCCTCCACCTGTTTGCCTTGATTTCTCCTCTTATTTCTAATTAATTCAATAGTATGTTGTGTATTTGGAATGAATTAGGAATTTGGACTGAATTAGAAGTCTAAATAATAAAGGCAGCCCTTTCCATTGCTAGGCATTTTGAGGGTATTTGAGCCTTCTTCTGTATATTGAGATCACATCCATCTTGTGCTTCCTGCTACTTGGTCATGTCTCATAACCCTGATACAGGACAGCTCATCCAGTTTTTGAAGACACAAATCAAGCTTCTTCTTTTGAGGCCAAACATCTTTGCTCTGGCCCAAGAGTTTTTTTTTTTTTTTTTTAAGTTTCCATCTTAGAATATGGTTTCATGTCTCCCCTACATTCTGATTGCTTTCCTTTCAAACCATTTCTCTCTGCCAACTGGATCATCTTTGATATTGGCAAAATTTGTTTGATACCCTCTTATCTCCATCACACATAGATTTCTCTGCATATTACTTCATAACTAATTGCCACAAACTTAGCAGCCTAAAACAACATGCATTCATCGTCTCATGATGTCTTATAGCTCAGAAGTTTGGGCACAGCTCACCTAGCTTCTCTACTCAGGGTCTCACAAGGCTGAAATTGTGGTGTTATAGAGTTGACCCTTGAACAACATGGGTCTGAACTGTGTGGGTTCACTTATAAGCACAATTTTTTTTCAATAAATACATTATAGCACTATGAATCCATTTTTTCTTCTTTGTGATTTCTTAACATTTTCTTTTCTCTAGCTTATTGTAAGAATAAAGTATATAATACATATAACACAAAATATGTGTTAATTGACTGCTTATATTATTGATCAGGCTTCAGGTCAACAGTAGGCTGTTAGTAGTTAAGTTTTTGGGAAGACAAAAGTTATATGTGGATTTTCCACTCTGTGGAAGTGGTTGGTGCCCATAATCCCTATGTTGTTCAAGGGTCAAGTGCATATCATAACTTAATCACAGGAGTGAAATCCTTTATATTCATAGCACTGCCTTATGTTCAGGGGCAGAGGATTACACTGGGTGTGGACACCAGGGGACAGGAATATTGGGGATCATCACAGAATTCTGCCTACTACACCCCTAAATCCCAAATATTTACTCTTTGGATCTGTGATGATGTCACCAGCCCCCTTCCCCACATAATTAGTCACCAATTTGGGTTATGAAACTGTGTCTCCCCATAGCTCTTTAGTGTGAAAGTAAGTTAGTTGAAGGCCTCGCTGCAATGCAGCACTGACATTAACTACCTGGAGTTAGTGCATACTCCATAGGTTAAGGACATCATCCTTCCTAAGACTGACCTCACTTCCAACACTAGCCACAGGCTCCAGGGTCCCAGGCCATCTTCATTTCTAACCACTTGGCTACAAATATGGGTATTCCCACTATCCCCCCAAGTTTCGTGATTTGCTAGAAAGACTCACAAAACTCAGGCAAGTGCTATACTTATGATTATAGCTTTATTATAAAGGATACAAATTGGGAACAACCAAATGAAGAGACAAATAGGAGGGTTGCAAATGCGAAGCTTCTGTGTCTTCAGGATGCATCACCTTCCTGGTACATTCCTTCTCCAGGAAGCTCACCTGAGCTTCAATGTCCACAAATTTTATTGGGGTTTCATTGTATAGACATGATTGAATCACTGGCTTATGTGATTCAACTCAACCTCCATCTTCCCCCTCCTCCTGGAGGTTGGGCAGATATCACCTGGATCAAAGTCCAAGCACTCTAAACACATGGTCTTTCTGGCCTGGCCAGATCCCATCTTGAGTCATTGCCTTAGCCTAAAGTCAGCAGTAAGCCGCCCGTAAGTAGCAAAGACACTCCTATCACTCAGGTTAAATCCAAGGATTTAGAGGTTACCTCCTGGGAACCAGAGAGAAAGGCCAGCCAGATTCTTTACTATATGACAACAGCACATAAAGTCATAATACTCATTAACATTTTGGCTTGAATACACCTGGATCCAGTCTTTGTAATGCTTCTGGGATCTGTTGGAACCTTCTGAGAGGTCCTCAAGTTCCAGGCCCAAGCTCTTGATTCACAGGTGCTGAACTGTGGGGATATC